TCCCCCTTAATAACCCCTATGTTAGCCCCCTCTATAATCCCTTTTTTAACACCCGCCTTTAGGGAGTTCGGGCTATAGCTCACATGTGCGCTGCAGGGGATGCGGTAAAATTACGTTCCTTGAGCCTCTCCGTTTTGGGAAGCATTGCACGGCTCAGAGAGAAGCTGACATTCTACAAGTTGTGCCTATGGCATCTTGCGGGATTCGCCTTCTCAAACCTACTTCGAAAAGTTTTCACGATCAGGGTTTGCGCCCATAAAGAGAATTGGCTAAAAATCCGTCGCAGCCACTTTCATCCAAGGCTCACTGACTGAACTCTACGAAAACTACTCGCAAAACATGTTGGGACCTGAATCTGGGGCTGTACTTATTACAACTTCCAGCTTCAGGAAAAGTAGAAAGGACTCCCACATGTTCTGAGGACTGGGAAAAATGTAAAAGCTGGTAGGGACTTTTTGCCAGGGATTTTAATTGCCAATTACTTCCCAAAGTTCCTCAACATAGATCTCTTAACCCCAAACCCTAAATCATAAACCGCGACAACCAGCTCAAAACGACTCAACAGCTGGCATCGGACCAACTGATGAACCCTAAGACCCGAAAAAGACCCACTTCCATTTCTTTTGCCATATTCTTTCCCACTTGAATCTCCAGAACCTAGACCCTGCTGAATGAGCAATCGATCCCTACCCTAGTCCTACACCAGCCCATGTTTAAGAAAAACACGGTAACACAATCCTTCAATCATGGCAGTTACGACCCACTTTGCATCCCTTCATTCCCTGCGGGCTACCAGTAAGTGAACCCTGTCTCCTAAAGACTAAAAATACTACAGTAGCTTCCATCTTTACTCCCACTCCTTCATCCCCAGCTGGTTAAACCATGAACCCAAAGCACTCCTATTTGAACTGCTAACCCCATAGACCATAATGGCTTGCATATCTGCAACCCTGGTCTGCCTAGACCTGTAGTATGTATCCCGGACACCCCTTTTGAACAGACTCGTTGTGTTTGCATATATTAGTATATACTTAATCCCTAAAGATCAGCTGGAATGCCTCAGAATCTGTCAACCCTACATCATACAACCTTAATCCTAGGCCTTAAATCCTAAACGATGAATGTTAAATATACCTTGATCCCTAAAACCCAGGCCCGAAGCCCTGGACCCAAAATCCTAAACCCTAAACCTTAAGCCCTAAATCCTAAACCAAAACCTAAGCCCCCGAAAGCAAAACCATTCCTTCGTGGCCAACAAAGTGGACGCCAGGCCGCTCCACACCAAGACACAGAGTGCCGCACAAAACCACGAAGCATCCTTCAAAAAGGGTTTAGGGTTTAGGGCTTTGGGTCAAGGGTTTAGGGTCTTGTAACGCGGTGTATCAGAGACTGATGAAGTTCAGGACTTGGGTTGTTTGGGGCTTATGGTTTTAGAGCTTCCGGGATTTCGGTTTTAAGATTTAAGGATTTTAGGGCTTAACAGTCTTAGGGGCTTAGAGCTCAAGGTTTCAAGAATCAGGATGTGGTTTCAGATCTGGGGCCGCCCATGTAAGCCCCAGAGGCACATGAGGCATGATGTAAGGATTGTATGGGGTTCCCCCTGAGTTTACTGGAATATGCAGGTGCTGCGCGAAAAGCTTATAAAGAAAAAAATCTCTGGACATTCACTAGATGAAGCCCCAAATCTCAAAGCCTAAAACCGTCTTTGGGAATTCTTAGCCACGCGCATCCTTCGCCTTCTTGGGAAGCTCCGCACCTATGGCATTCCCCACCACCGTTGCAGCCGCAATTCCTCTCACATATTTACCACAAGTAAACAAGAACGTCTTTTCTCGTTACCATCATTTCACTGCTTAAGATAACACAGAAGCATGACCAGAAAACACATGTTTTCTGGAGCCTATCATATCACTGCTTAAAATATTACTCTGTTGCGGCCACAGTTCCTAAGGACATGGTGGGCATGGCAAGCACGGTCACCAAGTTCATTGCAGCCACATGGGCCGCCAAAGCCGTAGGGCCCAAATATCCTTACTGGGACTATGATGGACTATGGGATATGAGGACAGTAACGAACGATTATGAAACATACTACTACAGGGATTTATTACCCTATCCCATGCTAACCACCAGTAAGTATCCCACCACCAGGGCGCAGACCTCCCAGAACCACAACTCGCTGCAGACCTGCACTGTGGCTGGTATGGCCACTGCCATGTAATTCTTCCACTGGCGGAAGGCTTCCTGCTGAACTCCAAGCAGCTGCCTGTCCAGGGACAGAAAGAGGTACCCTTGAAGAGAACACATATATATATACATGTACACATATACGGAAACAGGCATCGGCGTCTCTACCTAATGTCCCTCCAAGGAACCCCCAAGCCTCCAGGTCGCGTGCAGGTCGGATGCGTTCAAAACCAGGAACACAGACCCGATCAGCCACTGCAGCGTCCACGTCACAGCATTTGCAACCCCAGCACCTGCTTGGTGGTTAAAATGGCGTATATAACGGGAGTCAAGATAAGCACTGAAATTAAGGTTTTTGTGTGGATAACGTTGGAATGTCCAGTCCCCCTTTAGCTTTTTGCCACCCGAATCCAGTAAGCCTTGCCAGCCATGTTGTGAAACCCCCCAAAAAAGCAGCCCATGCAAGGATAGTTGTTCGGGCCCCTTCCCCCACTGCCCCTAAAGCGTGAGCAAGGCACCCATGTTTCCCCAACGCAACACCACCACAAATGTCACAGACCAAACCACATGGAGGAGGCTTGTGGCTCCTGATACCCAGACCGGCATGGGCATCTCCATGTTCTGCAAGTAAGAAACAATCACCTGGGAAGTGCTCAAAAATGCGGGGGCACATGAGACCTCAGGGCTGTAGCGGGATCACAAAGAGATTACGCAGGGGTGACCGTCCTGATCATGGATCATATAAGGCCAGGGCCTGTTTTGCAAACCGCCCACCTGGTATTGAAAATTACCTAGAAGCCCAAAAACAGCTGCGCGATTGTAGGATGCTGCATGCCTTGCAACCTCCTCATGCTGGCCAATGGCCACAAGGATCGAATCCGTGAACCACAGCCTGAAGCGGAATTCAGTTTAAATGGAAGCCCCTAGAAGAATCAAATTGTCCAAAGGTGTGAGCCTGCGTTTCATTCGTGACCCCACAACTTCCAAACAACATTTCCAAATCAACCATGCAGCAATGGGATCATCCACAACAGCTGCACGGTGCTAATGACGCGGCTGCGTTGCAGATACTGGGTGCACAGCGAGTATTGCCCGGCTCCGTTCGCTTGGCTGACGAAAGTGTCCAGCGCACTTGTAAGGCCCATGCCGATGGTCAACGCGCAGCAATTCTGAATCAAATTGCCCAAACCAACCGCAGCCAACTCCGCGTTATTTCCCACTTGACCCAGACAAACAGTGTTGACAAACTCGTTCAACAGCATCGTGACATCACTACACATCAAAGGAAACCAAAGCGGGAAAACCTCGGCCAGCAACTCTCTTGGCGCCGACTGCGCTTCAAGGAGCGGCTCCATGGCTTTTTGCTGGGTCATGCTAGGTAAAGTATGTTACGAAACAGCATTGTATATAGACGAGAAAGTACGAATTACCGTAACACTAACTGTAACTTGCGTGGTTTTTTCTAAGCTGAGCTATTCTTAAGACTGTGTAATGGTCGAGGGTCGAGGGCCTGGGAGTTTCCGAAATAGGCTTTTCAGCTGTAGAGTTTCAGCCGCCATCTTCAAGAAGTCTGGCAATTGCCTTTCTGGAACGTGCAATTTCATCATGCGAAATGAAACGATGCAGCAGAAGCTCCACACTGCTTCCTTGAAGCATGAATGCAACTGGCTTGACGGGATCATGGGTGCGCAATGCTGTTTCACCATGCCGTGTAAGGTATGGGCTTGATCAAATTACCTGAAGCATGTCAAAACCAGCATGCTCTGTTCACAAACAACAGGTTCCATTCATGCTGCAACCACCGCAGCACATTCACCAAATTGACCACATTTTTTGGCGCACACACGTCGAACGAAACCTTGACCCGTGCTCGCTTTTTGGCTGCGCCAGTGGCAAGAACAAGGACAGAAAACCTTTTGGCCGTTTGAGCATTTCTCTTTTCCAGACCGCAAGACAAAAACGACAGGCAGCTGCTGTCGACAACAACCCGTATCTTAAGGGCAAAAAGCGCTGTCAGAGAACACTACTAGAACCGCAACCGTGGGAAGAGCCTGCACTGTACTGACTTACAATATTGGAATGCGGCGCTACAATAGAGTCGCGATGAGAAGACGTCTGATAAACCTCGGTCACATGCGAGATATTGACAACAGGAGCCACGCTTAATGTCCACCATATAAGCACCTGAGAGCAAGAAAGAGGGGGCCTGGTGGCTTCCAGGAACGAGAGCTTTGGCTGGGACAATTTGGTTTCAAACTCACGTCCACTTGCAGATGATGCAACCAGTCCAAGGTCCCTGCAAAAACATCCGTCCATCAGCGCCACCTGCCACACGATGGCTGCTTCCAGTTTCTGCAAGGAAGTGCAGGCGGCGGATCGAGCATGGGTTTGCTGCGGAGCTGTCACGCTCGTTTGCTAAAGACATCAAGCATGCCTCCAAGAAGGTGAACATCAATCCAACCGTGCAAACGGCTCTCAGTCAACTCCAACAGTCAGTCTTCAACAGTTCACTGGCACCTCGTAGCTAGAAGGCAGCGCTGACATCGCTATGTTGTGCACGTCTTGTTTTTTCTACAAATGGACAAATCAAGAGTCAAAATCCATCGGGTTAAGTCAAGGCAAGGCTTGTTCAGACTTACAGTGGAATCTTAGGATTGTCACCCTTCAAATGGACAATGGGCACTCGCAGGTGGAACACAGTCTTCGCTGCCTCTGCTACACAGAATTGCAACTTGTACTTTGCACCTTCTGTGGGCGTAAAGAGGTTGGATCACGAAATTCGCAAGGATGATCATCAGGGAAAATTACCTGACCCTTAAAGAACTAACAGGATTCCTGCATGTAGGCCATCAAAGAGGTAGTCAACATTAAAAGTCGGGCAGGAAGGTCCAACCACAAAGTGCGTGTGCATCGTCGGGTGGAAGAAGATCAGGGAGCGGCCCCCAGCAACACCTTGAAGAACTCCAGCGCGCTGTCCAGGGTCACCTAGAAGGCTAAGTCGCGTACGTCCTCGACGCTGTGAAGTCGGTGTAATAAAGCTTAAGAAGGGAGTTATCCACGGCATTGGCAAGAACCGAACAGCCACCGCTTCTATGCAATCATTGAGGATCTTAGGATCTGAAAGACGCCGACGGCTTCTTGATTCCGTAGGCCTCATGCGTGGTTCTAAAGTCTGCCTCAGGCAAGCCAACCAGACACCAGACCATTGGTTGCCCCTTGTCAGCACACCAGCGTTTCCACAGTTCCTAACATTGTTTTCTCGTGTTGCTTGATTTCTGCCGCACCTTATTGAAAAGCAATTAGGGTGCTGTTGCGCAACATACGCAATCTGGACAGAGAGACATCAGTCAGATTTGTAAGTATGTTGCCGTTATGAGAAGTTGCAGAAGACCGGAAAATCTCCAAATTTGTTTCTCATGGCTTTCAGAGCTGCTGCTACATGGTTCCCGCATAATTTAGCAGCACTGGGCTTTCAATGCCCGTGATCGCTAGGCTTGGAATGCCACGGAGAGCCGGCGCATGGCGCGCTAAATCCGCATCGGACATTTCCAACCAAAGGCTTTTGCAGGACACAACGGTTGTGTCTTCGTTTTCCCTTCCTTGCAGATCATCTTCAAGGACATCGTCATCAAAGTCTTCAAGCTGGTGCGGAAGCAGACAGGTTCGCAAGTGCAGCTGGAAGTTGAATCCGACGACATTGCCCAGCTCAGTTCCATTCTTCAGCTCAATCAACATTATCAAGCTTGTCAAGGATGTGAAGTGGCTATGTACTGATGCGAGGTGGCTTCGACAGTGATCGCATCCAGCGAAGACTTGGAGCTTCTGAGCGTGAATGAGCCAAGATTTAAGAAGCTGATGGCAGAAAAAGATGCCGCTCGAGAAAGCCAAGGACTGCCTTACGCACATCCAGGCCAACCGAACCTTCAGTCACCTTCAACGATTTCAAGATAGCGCCGAAACAAAAGGAGGACTTTTGCTAGAGGGAGATGGAGGTGTGGATGGAGAGAGTGGAGAATCTCGCTTCCACGAAGGCAAGAATGGAGGCCTTACAGCCGCGAAAGCTCTCTCTACGCAAAGCGCTTGGCAGAGCAGTCAACTACAGAGACATTTGCCAGCACTGCAAAGACAAGCCCTAACCGGCTGTACTCAGCCATCGCGGATGCATTCGCTGAAAAAAAAAATCTTACCTCTTTAGAGTTATAAAGAGGTGGTTGCCTTTCTTGCTTGGACGTGGAAACAGTCAGCTTAACCAGATGGAGGGTGATCTGGGAGCAGGACCTTGCTCTAAGAGCGGCTTGAAGGGAGACTTGAAGGAACTTGTTTTTTGTCTTCTAGAACCCTTCCTTCTAAGCAAAAGCCTCCGCCACTTAAGCTCTAGCCGCCCCTTCAGCCACAGATAAGGGCCTCTGGGACGATGGACCCGTACCCGTCTCACTTGCACTGCTAAAGCCTTCTGCTACCACTTTTCGTTGAGTGCACAGCATAGTGCACTCTCAAATGAGCACGCACCAGTTTCTTACAGCTATTCTGAAATAGCCATGTCTTCTTGAAGTGGCTTAAAGCGTAATGGCAATAACAAACCGAATCGAAGAGCTGCTGATGCGAAACACCACGCGAAACGTCGCAGACAAAACAAGAGAAAGGAGTATAGCTCCGAAAGGTGTTCAACAATTCTAAATCGCCAGCTGAAGCAGCAGAGCAAGAAGTATGTTTCAATTCATGTCAACGACTTCCAGCGTAAGACGCATTCCGCTGACGACGGGCGCCGATGCTTCCCTGTCCAACCCTTTAGCATCACTGGAACTGCATAGATGACGTCTCGAACCTGCAGGTCTGTTCACTGGATGTGTTGTAAGAACAGGCGCATGAGACGTTTGAACTTGCTTTTGCGTCATCTGTCAGACTTTTTTTTTTTAAACTTTTTTTTTTTTTCTCGTTTTTTTCGCTTGAAGTATGTGCCCAGTCCTCCAAAGAGATGGCTTGTTTGGTCCTCGACAGTGACCTTGAAGTTTTCGTGGCACAGTAGACTTGTTGGCTTCAGCGAAGGTCGCATTAGCTGTATTTCGGGCTGTAGGTCGTAATGGGTTCCATGTAAGCGAGGACGAGAAGATATGCTTGCTCAGAGTCCAGCCTGGAGAACATGAGTTTGGAGTCGTTCAAAGACATCTACGCAGGATGATGTGGCTCGGGAAGAAGCATCTCACATGGAAGCGATCGGTAAACGTGCCCTTCCTGTTGACCGTCGAGCAACAAACCAAGCATGAGGCTCCTACTTACTGCGAGTGCTGTAGATGTGTGTTCAATGTCAAACAACTCTCGTCGAGTCAAAGTGTGTCATCCTCATGGTACAGGTGAGTTTCTGGGGAGCTTTTGCAGTTTCTGCAATGGACGCATCGTTCAGCCAAGATGCGTACCAGTGGTCTTGCGCAACGGAGGCAATTTCGATTTCAAATTTCTCCTACGTGCTATCGCTTATCTGCAAAGGCGCCCGGATGATGACTCTGATTCCTCTGACGATGACGAGCCTGGCGAGGGCAAGGTCAACGACAAGGACGTTGGTTGTGGTGAGCTTCCAGAGACTGACTTTGACTTGGACGAGAACGTGGACTTCAAGAAGCCTAAACTCCGTGTGCTCTTCAAGTCCAACGAAAAAGTACTTCAGTTCCAGTTCGGGAACCTGGTCTTCATTGACTCCTTCAATTTCTACCACGCAAGCCTCTCAAAGCTCATGGACGAGTTGGCCAAGACTGCCGAGGACGGTGACCTCTCTTCAGTTTTCAGGCATGTGGCAGCAACCCATCCTGAGCTGCAACCAGAGGCCATGACTGCTGAAGGCGGGAACGTCTAAGACAACGCTTCGCTCCAGGAAGTCACGATGTCAAGGAGGATAGATTCATCCCTCGTAATTTCTTCGATTACATCCATTCCTTTGAGCTTTTCAACTTTCTTTCTTGCTGCTTCTTCATCCA